CCAGCCAGAAGCCATGGGGAGAGACCTCAGGAGAAACTAAACCTACCAACACCCTGACCTGGGACTTCTAGTCTTCAGCATTGTGAGAAAAATTCCCATTGTCAAGCCACACAATCTGCATTTTATTATGACAGCCTAGCACACCTAATACAATATACTTTCCTTGTGTACTAAATACCTAGATCAGGGGTGGGGAACTCTGGCCCATGGGCCGTAGCGAAATCATTTGGCCTGGCCCTGCCAAGGCATTAGAGGCGAGTTCATTAAATGTTTGACCAAATATAGCAGGCTAATTTTTAAGTTGATAATTGTGTATGGCCCACAAATGTTATAAATATTCAAATGGCCCTTGGCAGAAAAAACGTTCCCCATCTCTGATCTAGATGGACACCCAAAAACACATGTAGCTGCCGCCAGGGACAGGAACTGGGTGGTAAAGGTAGAGACATGTCCCTTGTCCCTAGAATTTGAACCATGTGACTCCTAGAATGCTTCACTTTTGCCCCCACTTTTCATGGATGCAGAGAAACTGACCATGTTGAAACTAGCACTTTCATGCACTACTGCTCCATATCCAAGAAAGAAGGGTTTGAATAGTTGTTAGATATCCATACAGCAAATAAATGAGAGGGGCCTACTATAATGTAAGTATGTCCAGACATATTAAGAGAAAAAGGGAAGTCACAAAACAATGGGTACACTTTTGATTTAAAAAAAAAAAAAGCAAGCCCAGCTGGTGTGGCTCAGTGGTGGAGCATCAACCTATGAACCAGGAGGTCATGGTTCGATTCCTGGTCAGGGCACATGCCCAGGTTGCAGGGTCGATCCCCAGTGTGGGATGTGCAGGAGGCAGCTGATCAATAATTCTCTCTCATCATTGATGTTTCTCTCACTTCCTCTCTGAAAAAAATAAAATTATATTTTAAAAAAGCAAGTGCCCTCAAGAAAAAAAAAATTGTTTTTTTGGATGGAGGATTAGTTTTTTTCCCGGGGGGGGGGGGGGGGGGGGGGGGGGGG